CTGCTCCACTAGGATGAGGGAACACAACTCCTTCCTTCTCCAATTCAGAAGAGGGACCCTACCCTCTCGTCCTGGTTCAAAGGGCACCGCATCGTTGGCAAGAAGAGGCGCTCACCTGATAGCTAGGCAAGGAGCTGGTTACCCAACCACATGGATACATCATGGCACATTGCTCGCTTGAAGCACAAAGCGCAAGACATAACCTACATAGTCGTCGTACTCGAACACTCGAGCGGAGGGGAAAGCTACTAGTGGCAAGCGAAGAGGAAATGCAGCTCCGAGGACAGCGAAAAAACGGTTGTGCCGATTGAAGGTGCGCCCCAGTGGAGAAAGAACCCGACACTCCCCGTCATGGCCAATCTGTAGCCATCAGGAAGGGGAACTCTATCCCCTTCCCCCCAGGGACGAGGACGTCGAACCATTGTGACTCGACAATGTAGGTTGGACCTAAGAGCACCACGAACAGAGAAGACGACAAACCTGCAAGAAAGACTAGTGCGCACAATTGCCACACAAGGTTTGGAGTCGCGGGTCACCTCCACCCCAAGGCACCACCCTACCAAGTACCCAATTTTCCCGTACGACGTCTCCAAGGAGAACACGACGCGCATGTCGCCGTCACCTGCCCAATCAACCATGGATTTTGATCTTTTGCTTGGAAAAGAAGCCGAGGATGGGGAGGCAGTGTCCTCAACAACGCCTCAGCGGAGGAAAGCAACGCCCTTGGGCGTCGCCGCTGCCATGGCCGAATTGGTTGGCCAGGGGTTTCCCCGGACCCGAGCTTGTCGTATCACCATGCCAGTGAGAGAACTGGATCAGAGGTCGTCGAGAACCCTAGGTGGCGAGGAAGCGTGAGCCAGAGAGGGGAAAGGGGACCGAACCTACATATCTAGATTTGAAAACCGAAGGTGCACCGACACCTTGACCACCACCCGTCGACACCTCGCCACGCCCACATGGCCAAGGGATTCGGTCACCAGCCCCAGAAAACGTCATATGTCGAAAGACGTCCCCGCCGCCACTAGGGACCACCGTGCCACGACTGAAGTCCTTTGCCCGCGTGACGGAGCGACGCGAACCTCGTCGCCACCTTTGTCCACGACCGCGCGAGCAAAGCTGGCTTTCTCCTCTGATTACGTCGAGGGATTTGGAGGAGGATGTGTGGCGGCAATGACGCGAACCCTAGTCGCCCTCGGGAGGACGACGCGAGGGCCTATTTCTTTTCACTCATTTTGCTTTGTTATACTTTTTTTTCATAGCTCAGTTATGTTAATCTGTATGTTCCATCAAACATGCAAGCTGGTATTTCTTTAGAAGTAAAATTCATTTCCAGTAGAAGCAAATTTTGATTGCGGAGTGCTTCTGTTTATTCCAGTGTGCCATAAGACTGCAGCATGGCTCCACTATGTCTTATATTTGTTTAGCTTATTCACATTTTTACTTCTACCAAACATGCTTCATTATTTCTCGCATTTTTTATTTCTAAATGGTTTATTGCACATGACAATATACATGCTTCCTTTACCCGTCATGTTTCTATGGTCCTCGTTGTTTATCTTGATATATTGATGTGCTTTCACTATCAATCTGTGCTTTTTTTATTTTTCTTATGTGTTGCGTATAGTCTTGCATTGTCATTGATTTCAAAAATTTCCACATAATGTCACCATCCCTCACATATGTTTCCATGGTTTTCCAGTTGTATTGTGCCTCCGTTCTTGAGTACGAGCTTCCTCCATTTCTCATGTATCCAATGTACTGACAATAATATGGAGGATATTGTCCATGTATTCATTGTATGTAATTATGCTTCACTGGTTTATTTACATGTGTACCAATGGTGGTGGAATTTTGCATCAATCACTACCGATGTGTGATCCTTATTGTATAAACATTTTCCCTAAACCACACGTACCTCAACCATCCTGAGCATAGCTTCTTCCAATGAACTTTTATTTCACTAACTTTTTGCCAATACATTTCCATTGTAAGTGTGTGCTTCTTTGTTTCCATTTGTTTTGTTTTGTTTATAGACATTTTTCTGCACCCAACTTTAGCCATGATCATCCCATTTGGAATCAATTGGGTGGAAGAGAAAGTTGTATAGTTGTAGATAGTGTTATTTTTTTCTTAAATAAAAGACCTGCAAATTGTTGCTCATAGCAAGTGGATTTGTTCCAATTATTCGTGGTGATTGTTGCGCTTCCACACGTGTTTTTTCACCAGTAGTATATTCGATCACACCAGAAATTGATGCTTCCAATGGACTTACAGTTGTGGTCATAGTAAGAAAGTGTTTGCTATTATGCGAACATTTTGTTTCAGAAAAAAAATGTTTATTATCATGCAAGCAGTGTGTTCCAAAACATTAAAATGGCTCTGTGTTTAGTTAGGCTTGTCACACTGGCAAGCTAGCCAAATTGTGCGAAAAAGGAAAGATGTCCTTAGTCTTTCTTCAGTCATGTTTGATTTGTGTGGTTTGACACGAGTCACGCCATACTTCGATTAGCTCCATGGCCCATAAGTAAAATACACATCTTCCTCTTACAAAAAAAAATACTTCAGAGTTATGGAGCTATAAAGTATTTCGGGCCAAGCATGCAGTTCTAAAATATGTTCCTGAATTCACATTTGAAGTTTGTCAAGGGGAAAACATTAATATACAAAGCAACATAAAGTATATAATTTGGTGAAGCAACATTGCATTGTTCCACGCATCCAAAATAAATAGGAAGGGCACATATCAATATAGATTAAAGAAGTACAAGTTAACACCTGAACATGTGAAGAATCCCTTTGTATGGAACTTCAAAGGTGAAAAACAACAGTGAAAACTATAGCCGCGGTATCAGAAAAAAAATATGTGCATAGCTCAGCTCTCTAAAAATTCAAGACCAACACCCTACCAACACAATCACATCGGAGGGCAGACCCGAAATCCACTATCAACTCAGGAAGACCCAGCCACCAGCACCACCTTTCTGACATGTTTTACCCACAATTCTCTCGACAATTGGCGTCAGTCATGGTATTTTGATTGGGTCATGTAATTCACAACCAAAAGTGGAGGGGCAAGTAATAGATCGACTAAGAAACATGTGTCTCACACATCAGAAGGTAAAACTAAAATCATGTCCTTAGCCAATACAATGGCATCCAAGGATAAACATATGGGGCTTTATGGTTGATAATAGATACTCCCTCCGTCCCATAATATAAGAACGTTTTTGGCACTACACTAGTGTCAAAAACATTCTTATATTATGGGACAGAGGTAGTACATCACAAGCTTATGCATGTTATTCACCATGCTTGCGCAGCTGACAGGTGTGCGCCGATTTGCCATATTTCTCCAGTATGCCTAACTGCGGTCGTGAACTAAGCACTAGATCAAACAAGTATGAAATGCCTTAACTTTTGGGAGGAGACTTGTTGTCATAAACTATGCAGGACCAACAGTCTAGCACTGAAGTGCTGCCAAGTTTGACAGTGTGGATACACAGTTATCATGCATGGATGATTAAAGTTGAAACCGTCCATGTGAAAAAGTTTACGATGTATTTGAAAATGTTTGACAATCATAATGGGAACAACCAAAGAAATAGTTCATGATAAGCAGTATCTCAGCCACTCTACAAAATAATTCTTAGTAGACACATTTTACATAATCAAGTCAAAAAGAGTTCTGTTGTTGATTTTGTTCTCAACTGACAAGTGGCATGTACATAACCATTCCAATCTCAGTCTAGTTACATCTTTTATACTTTGCTATAGGAATATGTACATGATTAGGTGTAAAAATTAAATTACACAGGACATTGTCAATGCTTTGCAAGATGTAATGGGATTTCTCAAAAAAAAATGTGATGGGTAAATTTTATGTGTTCCATGATGACTAAATTTGAGGTGTTCCATGATAACACTATGCCTATAAATATCCTCTCCTCTTGGAGAAATGCCAATATGTATGCTGGTTAAAGAAATCGTGTACATTACCATGTTGCGTCAGAGTAGGAAACATGCATATCCAGTGGGTGCGCTCCACACATTCAGGAAAACTGGTCCCTCGATTTCCAGAATGTTGAGGGTTGAGTGTATCCTGGGAAACATGAAAATAGAAATGCACACTCCCTTCGCAGGCATTATCCTGTTCAGGTTCAAAGGGACTTTCTCAGCCCATATCGCAACAATCCAGGCCAAGGGGCCTTAAGATTGTTGGGAATACAAGCACCCCTGGTGCAACTTTCATCACTAGCAATCCCATAATGATATGCAAAGACAATTATAACATAAGTAACACAATATAGAGTTCACTTTTATTACAACCCATAATCCATAATGACATTAAAAACTGACGCTAAGCAGCAGTAGCTTTATTGAGGCATATATCCTGCTTACCACCTCCTAACAAAAGATGGTAGAAGTGCTGCTGACAAACGGCCTGGCCATCAAATCTGCATCACCTCGATCAGACGGCTGCCAAGGACATCTGCACAAAGTTTGTTGGTTGGAATTACATTATGATGTCAACGTAATTGGTTGGAATTTAATGAATGGATCATTCAACCATATTATCGTGCTACTAATGTTTACTTAATTCAAACATTCTAAAACACAGTTTGTTTAATTCGACACTGACTTTTTAAAAGAAGGTAAAGTTTGCTCAGTGCTGGAAAAATTCCACACTCTATACAAACGGAACTAATCCATTGCATGACATCACAGTGTAGAACTATGATCAAGCAGATCATGCAATGCAATTACGATATGTTCTAACTGATGGGATCATCCTTGGTTAGAATTATTACCTAGAGGATAAAAATCATATGTGGTTCCAAATTTAAAGTGTGCTTCATTTTCTCAAATAGTTCAGATGTAGGGGGAACAGCAGTGTTGCTAAAGTCTTATTACCATGTATAGTATTCCAAAGAGGGAAAGTTTTGTGAGCGTCCTCTCCCTACTTGCAAGACAATCTTTAAAAGATACACAACAAACTGACCTTATTTTTGAACTACGTAGCTTTCTGGCACATAGATTTCCCCTCCAGCTTCACCATGTTGTTCGCCACTAATTGTTTTTCTTGCAGCCAAGAATTCAGCACTCATCTCACTCATTCCTTGCCTCACAGCTTCCTCTACTGTCCCATAACCATGTTCATCAGCATACTTTCTAATATCCTCGGTGATTTTCATCGAGCAAAACTTGGGACCACACATTGAGCAGAAATGTGCTACTTTGGCACCGTCAGATGGCAGTGTTTCATCATGGAAAGACATTGCAGTAACTGGATCCAGGGATAAAGCAAATTGGTCCAACCATCTAAACTCAAACCTTGCCTTGCTTAGTGCATCATCCCATGCTTGTGCATAGGGGTGACGCTTTGCCAAATCAGCAGCATGAGCAGCGATTTTGTAGGATATCACACCTGTCTTAACATCATCCCTGTTAGGCAACCCAAGGTGCTCCTTTGGTGTTACATAACAGAGAAGTGCGGTGCCAAGAGCCCCAATGTTGGCGGCACCAATGGCTGAGGTGATGTGATCATAACCAGGTGCAATATCAGTTGTCAATGGACCCAACGTATAGAAAGGTGCTTCGTTGCACCACTCTAGCTGTTTCTCCATATTTTCAGGAATTTTATGCATCGGAATATGCCCAGGACCTTCATTCATCACCTAGAAGTTAAGAAGTGTAAATATCAGAAAGACAACTCCCAAGTTTCAACTATTGAATAACATAGTAGAAGATAGAAACAACTCATCATGCAGAGCATAATACAGTTCCAAGTTCAAGTGTCAGAGTTCAACTGTCGAGTCACTAGGGCATAAAAAATGATTCATCACTTAAAGCACTTTACAATCAAGAATTCGAATATTATATCTTCAATATTTTCTCACTTGTTGGTTTCTGACAACTAATCTCTATTCAAGCGTATTCATTAAGATAAGCTACCATGCACTGTAGATGAATATGGTCGTATATACAATGTTCCAAAAATAATTGACCCATTAGAAACCGGTGCAGAGACCTTGTTTTTAACTGAAACATGAAGAACTGTTGGATGATAAACAGCTAACACATATCCTAATAAAAGTGTTCTTTTACATTTACTATATAATCTGACGATCTAGCAATCATATTCAACTGTACTGGAAAAAATATCTTGTTTATACTATTTACCAGTTACTTAAAATATCCACTTCAATCTTATGCATAAACCAAGCTAACATAGGTAATAATCTTGTCAGTAGCATTTATATCGAAGGTTGATTACTCAAAGCTTATTTAGAACGTCCTGTTATTGATTCTCGCATCTTGCAATAAAAAACAAACATAAACCATGACTGTACATATTAGAATATTTGATATTGTAAAGGAAACAACTCTGTATGTTGAACTTGACTCCTATCATTCTCACCTGCACATCTTTCTCCCATGCTCGGCGAGTTAGTTCCCCTTGAGTCAGCAGTTCTGCAAACTGAGCGCTATCATTAGCATCATAAATGGAACCAGGCCTCAGGCCATCACCAATTGACAATGCCACATCATACTGGTTACATATGTCAAGAATGTCATCCCAGTGCTCATAAGCAAAGTTCTCCTTGTGATACGTCAAGCACCATTTTGCATGGATTGATCCACCGCGTGAAACTATGCCAGTCATCCTCTTTGCTGTGAGAGGAATGTAACGAAGCAGCACACCAGCATGGATGGTGAAGTAGTCAACACCCTGCTCGGCTTGTTCAATTAAAGTGTCCCTGAAGACTTCCCAGCTAAGGTCTTCAGCGATACCATTCACTTTCTCAAGTGCTTGGTAAATCGGAACAGTTCCAATAGGAACGGAGGAGTTACGAATAATCCATTCCCGGGTCTCATGGATATGGCGCCCTGTTGAAAGGTCCATGACAGTATCTGCTCCCCACATTGTGGCCCACTGGAGCTTGTGGACTTCCTCCTCGATGGAGCTCACAACAGCTGAGTTCCCGATGTTTGCATTCACCTTCACAAGGAAGTTTCTTCCAACAATCATGGGCTCCAATTCCAGGTGCCTCTTGTTGGAAGGGATAATGGCTCGTCCACGGGCGACTTCAGATCGGACAAATTCAGGAGCAAGGTTCTCACGTTTGGCACAGTACAGCATCTCCTCTGTTATGATTCCCTGCTTAGCATAGTACATTTGGGTGTACCGAGGACTACCCAATTTCTCCCTCCTGTCAATCCATTCCTTTCTTATCTTTGGGAGTCCTGTAAAAGTTCAATCATGCTTATTACAAACAAACTTATATGAATTTTAAACTTGACACAATTTATTCAAAAGTTTAAAACCTATTCAAAAGCTTGACACAAAAAAACTATATTTAATTAATTTGGACGGATAAAATAATTATATTGCTATTTTTATGCTATCTAACTTTCTGAGGGACCTAATACATTTCCCTGGATACTTCTTCAGTTCTCATCTAGAACACTTTAACTGAGAATATACAGGAGGAAACTACTTTTTTTCTGAAGGAGCATGGGTAATCTCTCCACAAAGCACAGCCAATGTGCTTACTAGGGTAAACTTGAGAATGAAACAATCTGAAATACTACAACTAAGAAAACATTAGAAGAATATCTATAGAGATATCCGATATATGATCATAAAAAACTAATACGTCTACTTTGCCTTTTCAACTATTTTCCAAATCCAAAACCAGGCATCTGATCAATACCATCCGACTGTTGAAACAATGAAACTGTCCATTATTTGACTATAAGATGAACTTATTAACACACAAAAAGGGAAACATCAGAGCAATTCAAGGCACCAAAACAAATACGTGGTTGCATGAGAGCGATAATACAAACACACCGTGTAAGTTCCTCTTGGACAGCCGATCAAGATGTTATGGCTTATGAGTACAAAACAGTCTACATGGTTTATGACAGAGAATATGACAAACGAGATAAGGCTAGTGAGTTACCAAGCCTTGGGCTTATGTTCTGTGGACCACTGGTGTCATATGTGTCGAAATGCCCGCTATCTCCGGTCAAATGGACTCTCCGAAATGGAACCTTCAGGGCATGACCTGATTCCTCATGAACGACTTCACTGCAGATCATAACCATAGCAAATATAAGATAAAACTGATACATTAGAATATAACAAAGTTGGCACTCCCAGTACAGTTGCTAGGCGAAGCAAAAGCAGGAAGCATGCCTGCATTCTTTGGTGCTCCGTGGGAAGCAATCTTCAAATGCTGGGAGCGGCAGAAATTCTGGAGCAGCAGGATCAACTGTATGTTTCGATTGCCTGGGTTTTGTTGGCTCTGCTACTGACTGATCAGTCAGTGAAACTGCCTTAGGCCTTGAACAGGTGAGGCTAGCATTCCTGTCCTGCACATCTTGAGGGCGCGAAATGCCACCGAAACCAGGCAAAAGTGCAGTTTTGGGGAACTTCATGGTGTTGCAGCTATTGTTCATAGCCATTAGCGACGAGAACGATGGTTGCAGTGCAGCCATTTCCTGTTCAAGGTACAGATTAGTAGATGCAGGCACTATGTTGCAATAGATTAGTACATTCATACTTCATGACTGCAAACAACGTTACACAGTACGGGAATACGGAAAACGGCATTTTCAAAAAATGAATTTACGAGGATATGGCAAGTATATGGATAGACGATGAATAAAATACTGTAGTGCAGCAGTGCATTACGAACTAAATTAATAACATATAATCATATAGATTCATAGGACAATTGATCAAAAAAGTTAATCCACCAAAGCAAGAGATATGCTCCCTTCGTCCCATATTAATTATCGCTGAAATGGATGTATCTAGACGTATTTGAGTACTAGATACATCCGTTTGAGAGATAACTAATATGTGACGGAGGGCAGTCTAGCAGAAGATGAACATGACACAAGATTGAGAATTTTTACACCAGCACCAGTGATTGACGATGAAACATGATGAACGCACTTGGCTTAGCTAGCTAGGTAGCAGACATGGAGCCTGCGTGCAGAATGAACGCACTTGGGTCAAGTGATAACAGCCCACACGTATCCCTGAGGTATCCCCTTCGTACCCCTTTCTGTTTTTTTTTTCCTAAAAAAAGTTTACTAGCATTTTTTCCTTTTTGTAATAATTCAAAAAAAGAGATGCATCAGGATACGCGTATCCCCGGCGTATCCTGCACCAATTCGGCACAGAGGTGCCGTATCCCTGCACCAAATGCCAAAGATTGCACTAAGGACTGCAACTACACACTCACTAATCTCCACGTTTGGACAGGGCAACATCATCATAGATTCATAGTAGTACGTACTCAATTGTGAGGTCCTCCCAATTCCCATTACAGAGCAGATTATCTACGTTCTTTTTTCTTATTCGGCATCGACAATTGGACATGGATCGATTGAACTGATACAGACGAAAAAAGTAGTCACAATTCGCTTAGAACAGTTGTAACCCCACAAATTCATTCAGGCCGAGAAAAGAAGCACGAGTCCTAGACCCCTGGCGCCCGAGCTCTGGACGGGGTAGGGGAGGGGCCTCACCTGAGAAACGGCGGATCCGGCGAGCGGCGCGGGAGCGACGGCGGATCCGGCGGGCGGCGCGGGAGGGCGGCCGGAAGCGTTGGCTGATGGCAGTGGGGAGAAGGGATGGGAGTGCGCGCCTGGCCAGTGGTGCCGACTGAGTGAGGTTTTTTATAGCGGATCCGGGGCGGCCGGAGAGGTGAGGGGAGGACGGGGCACGGGTGGCCACCGCTCGCCGCGGAGAGCGACAAGCCGCGACCGGACATGGCGGGTGCCTGAGTGGGGGCGGGCGCCAGCCAAAATGATGGGAAAACGACGCCAGCAGTGGCGCCAGATATTTCCTCCCGCCGGAGATATTTTCTCCTCGCGAGCGCGACAAGCGCGTCCACCTCCACGGAAAAGCGAGCCGTGACGCCTCAACGGACGCAGAATCGCGGCCGGATCGACGGGACAGCGTAGCTGACGGCGGCTCGGCGGCGACGGTCGAATGCGGGCGGCCTGCCACGGCGCGGCGGCGGTGGCGCGGTCGCGGGGGACGGCGAGGGGCGTTGGGCGTGACAAGGCTTGGCTGGGCCGCTTGCGAGGCTGCTTTTTAGAGGGGGGATGGGCTGGTAAAGTTTGTGTAGCCTACTGGGCTAGCCACTCGAGCTATTGGGCTGCCCAATATGCGTTTCCCCCGGCTTACCTTATATAAAAAACAATAACCCCTCAAAAAGAATATAAAAAACAATACGAGCATTTGCGTGTTTCTAAAAAAAGTGTGTGTGTGTGTGTTATATCTTCACCTAGCGTCCTAGCACCCCTAAAAAAAAGAACCTAGCATCCTAGCCATAGGAAGCTATATATGTTTTCTCGGGTGTGTTTCCGGCGGTTCCTAAGGCCTATTCGGCATAGGGGAAGTAGGGGGACCATGTATCATTTTTCAATTGAGTGTAAATTGTTTTCTCAATGTTAGTTTGTTCATGTCCATGGGGGCGAAGTCTTGGTCTGGTCACCATGGCTGACACGGCACCAATTAGGAAGTCTATGGTGTTTTTGTGCCACGGATTTGATGGGTTGTCGTATGACACTTCGCGCTGTTAGGCGATGCAACAACAAGTTTGAGGCCGAGCTTGGTATGGTCAGTGGTTCTTTCATTTTGCCTTTTTTTCTAATCTAGCAAGGAATAAATGGTTCGACAACCTGGCTAGCAAGAGGTTTGTCCTCACTGACGTTGCGCTTAACGATCTTAAGTTCTGATTTATTGGGGTGCACGACAGATTCAACTATGTGGCCCGGCTTGGGGGGGCACCCGTATTTCTCGTTTTAAGGGAGCACACGGGCAGCCTCGCGTCAGGATGAGCCCAAATGGCCTGGCCCACGCGGGAGCGCGGCCGCAGGCTGTTTTCTGGTTTATTTTTACGTTTTCTGGTTTCGTTTTTGTTTTATTTTGTACTTTTGCATATACTTTAAATATTTGAAATATATATATTACAAAATATTTGAAAAATGTTATCAGGTACTCAAAACAATGTTGAACAAGTATTTCAAAATTTTAATGTAGCATCCGGAGAAATGTTGAACAGGTATTAGAAAAATGTTGATCAAGCATTCGAAAAATGTTGAAAAAGTATTTGAAAAATGTTTAAAAAAAGTATTTTAAAAATGTTAATCAAGCATTTTGAAAAATGTTGATCAAGCATTTGAAAAATGTTGATCAAGCATTTGAAAAATGTTGAACAAAGGTTTAAAAAAGAATGTTAACCAACCATTCGAAAAATGTTGAACAAGTATTTGGAAAAAATTTTGATCATGTATATAAAAATGTTGGATAAGTGTTTGAAAAATGTTGAACAAGTACTTGAAAAATATTTTTTGGAGAGTATTTGAAAAAATGTTGATCATGTATACAAGAATGTAGAATGAAAAACAAAAAATAACAAAGAAAACCCCAAAAAATGGAAAACAAAAATGGAGAAAAAAATAAAAAATAAATGGACAAAATGAATTTTTTTTGAAAAAAGTGTTCAAAAAAAAGAAACAAACAAATCAAAGAAAAAAAGAAGGAAAATGTGTAAAAGTCGACTCTTTCCCTTCTAATAGGTCATGCCTTACCTATTACTAAACAGTAACATGGAGCGAGCTAGAAGCAATCAGGACGATTTTACGTCCTATGCCGTTCGATCCAGCTAGCCAACGACGTGGATTTTTTGGTCATCCTCGGAAACGCGGTCTGTTTGTTTTGGCCCATTATTTCTGGGCTGCTGCTCTGGGGATAGACCTGGGCGGCTTATGGTTAATCGGGCCCGGAGGAGATGTCAATTAGGCTTGCAAGTTTTGGCCCGATTAATTTTCATGCCTGCCTGAAGTCTGGATACGTACATTAAACTGATTGTTTCTAGCTTTAAGGGAAATTGTGCCACATTTAACTTGACATATTCTTCTTCTTCTTCTTTTTTCCGGGAGAGACGCACTCTTCTGAAAATAAAAATTAAATAAAAAAAGATGTGCAGGGCTGTTATCTGAATAAAAGGTCGTATACTTTCACTCGGGAAAGGATAAAAGACGTATACACATGCAAACATAACTTACTTTTTTCCACATCTTTTTTTTACACCTGATCCTATTTAATAACCATATCCAATGATACTATCCTATATTTCGTCCTTATTGTACCAAAATATTTAGAATATATTAGATAATTTCATCAAACATGGACGGAGGCAGCAAAGCGTGCCATCATGGTCTAGTTGTACGTGAAGTCCAGGCTAGCGCAGTGGTTAGCAATGCCGCCGGGCAACCAGGAGGTCGCAGGATTGATCCCTCGTAATTATTTTACTAAAAAGTTGCTGTGACAAGCTGAAGGGTTTTGGAAAGGCGTTTGGTTTCTTATTTACTACAGAAAATATTGAAGTCCTTGTATTATAGCAATCTAAGTAAATTTCGCATACTAACTCGTCTAATGTTGATCTAGATGATTTTTTCTCAGAAAAAAAAAGTATTGCAAGTAAACTTTCCGGTCGATGAGGGAGGGTAATGACGGTGGCGCGCCTTCGACTCGCTCCAGTGTTTGTAGTCATCGCTAGGTGCAATGGCGGAGCTACAGCAAGGACGGATAGGCCATGCCCCGCCTAATATTTTAAAATTTGTACACAATTTTTTGTATTGTTGGGCCTTAGAACACTGCCATAGGCTATTTCTTTCATTTTGGCCTGTCCAGCCCACCCAGATTTGGGCTTCAAGCTCCGTCACTGGCTAGGTGGTCTACGAAACCTTGATGCAATTCGTACTTCATGTGTTTTTTCTAGTATCTCGACAGTTGATGAATAGATCGAAAGTTTTCTCGCAAAAAAACTTTCCAGTTGATTTGAGTCAACCCTTGAGATTCTTCAGTTCGGATGTACTTTCTCCATTCCTAAATATAAGCCTTTTTAGATATTTCAGTACGGACTATACTCGAAGCAAAATGAGTGAATCTACGCTCTAGAACATTTCTATATATACATCTGTATGTAATACATAGGGCTTATATTTAAAAACGGAGGGAGTAGATTGCTATCCAAATGTTTGGCACGTATGACCATCTCTGTACTATCTATATGTACTCTCGGTCGATGGTCATGTGTGACTTAGAGCTGGCACAGAGATGGTGTTCGTCCTAGCAAGTGGAGTTGACACTGTAATTGGAAAAGGTGGCGCTACATACAGTAGCTACCAAAAGTAAAAAGTGCAGGCCGAATGTCACCCGACACGGTCCGCGCGCTCGTCGTAGGATTCTTACCAACACTGCACTATTTTGTATTACGCGTAGCAACCAACAATCAGGTGAGTGGGCAAGTTGCATACAGATACACTATCCGGATCAGCTTGAGCGACCTTTTTTAGATAGTTTGACGAAGGGGAAAAAATATCAGTCGTCCACTATAGAGAAACACCAACTCTAATTTATTCCCTCCGTTATATTAAAGTTGGATCATCTATTCTGGAACGAAGGGAGTAATTAACAACAAAGAAAGAAACCAACACAGTTATGCAATTTTCCAACTGGTCTTTGACCTTGCGCGGGTCATCGGGTCTCGGGTGCCAATGCATCCAGATTTTTAAAAATAGGAATCGCAGAAAACGTAAAGTTTCACAGAGGAATGACTTTCATGGTATTATGTGGAAACAAGACGAATGGAACACAAACATGATATATCAAAGTTAGTATTCACGCTTTTTGCACTCACGATTTTGTTTTGTACCCTGAACTAAGTCGACCAAAGCGAAAGTGTTACTCCATCGAGCACAAATGCACCTGCATAAACAGTAATTAAATTACGACAAAATTGTAAAAGAAATCTGATTTTTTTTGTTTATGAACATCAATAAAAGTTGTAACATCCTGGAAAATTTTCCCTGAAAAGACATCCGTAGAGGTGTGTGCAAAAAAAAGGAGTGTTCCAAAATGCACCATTTTTAGTCTCGGATTTGTTTTTTTTTGTATTGGCCACCACGGTTGTCTTTTCTAAGTGACGTTTTGCATGATGTTAGAGCTTTTGTTGATGTTCATACACCTAATATTTTTAACTATTTTTCAAAGAACTTTCTATTCATACCAATGTATTTGTGCTCTTGATTAGATACTCCATGACCCAACCGAAGTCATTTCTTCACCGGGCATTTCCGGTCTTCGACCCGATTATACTACTTGGTACTAGTAGATTTGTTTCGAGTTATCTTTGTGTGATTTTGATTACAGTCGTCCAACTCTTCCGGAGTTTTGAGTACCACTCTATTGCTTACTAGAAGAACGCCCGTGCGTTGCAACGGGGCCACATTAACTTTAAGAGTTCAATATTAATATTCTCATACATATCAATCCTTCTTCTCCTTCCGTCTGCCACCGAGACAGGGACCTAGACTTTGTGCTGCTCTTATTGATTTCAAACCCAGACGAGATGGGGTGGTGGGAGGGGGGACGAAAAAACCCAGACGAAACAAAGGAGAAGGAGAGCCTCATCAGTAGCATCATGGTGAATTTCAAACCTAGCGTTGTGCTCCGCCCAACGAACATGGACGCCGCCGGCGGCGGCCCGGTGGAGCTCGAACCCGAGAGACTCTGCTGCTTGCTGGGAGGGGTCGGGGAGGGTCGGAGCACATGAGCATTGACGTGAAGGCAGAGTAGGCCGGGGAGATTACTGTGCACGCCGCACAGCGACTTGGACCTCGGAGGGCCTTAGCTCTGTCAGGAGGAGGTCCCGAGTTCCTGCCGAGGACAGCCTGACGGGGGAGACGCACGTCCGCT